CAAACCCCTTTAATCCCTGCCATGGAGCCAAGTGATGTTCACTCCTGAGCTTTCTTTGGAACTTCATTTGCTTTTTAAAAACCACTGGCAGTCTTTCATTAATCAGCAGATGCATCTCTCTCTGAAAGTATTTCCATCAGATTGGAGCAGAGATTTGGTTTTAATCCCTTTGCTCGCATAGCCCTGCAACACAGACACCACCCTGCTTCATTGCTTCTAAGCTGAACAGGAACCAAGTGGGATATTGAGAAAGAAGTAAATCTGCTGATTAGTTAATGTGCAAAACATTTTTTCTCCAGTAACACCTTCCTTGAGAAAAATATAACTGTTTCTGGGGGGCGTAAAAAAAAAAAAAAATCCGGTGTTTTTTCTCCTGAGCTTTGGTGTTTCATCTCCTGGGCTTTCTTGGGATCCGTTTTTCTTTCCATAACTTCAGTAATGCTGCTGCTGCATATATACCTCTGATTTTAAAAACAAGTTTCAAGTTAATACCCTGAAATTCTGCAGCAGCCTAGAATTTCTTTATTGCTCTTTTTTAAACCCTAAACATGGTCATATTCTCATTTCTTGCTGCTTATCAGAGGGCCACAGAGCAATGTAGGTCCCAGCTGAACAGAAATAGCGACAGTCTAATGTTACTATTGGACCTTGTACCTCTAGACCTTGAGACGATAATTTAATTTTTATATTTTCATTGTTCCATACTTATTAATAATTTTTTAATAGTTTAGTCACTGAAATATAGAGTGACTAATTAATAGAAGTGGTTTGATATCTCACTGGTATAAAAAGGGAGTAAACAGTTCCAGGCTGAAGATAAAGGAATTATTCTAAAGGCAAATTCCAGTTTAATGCTGGTGTAATTCAGGAGTCACTGAAGTGAACAGTGAACTGCAATCAGTGCAAGTGGGATCAGAATTTGGCCTGATGTCTGCAAAGAGTTTTGGAGTCCAAATTCATGATCCTCAAGCATATCGAAAAGCCGGTCACATCCAGGTATGCCTCTTAATCTTGTTTTGCAGCAAATTAATGCAGTTGCCTTCACTGGAGTCATTCTTATCTTACACCAGAGTTGAAGGGGTCAGACTGGTGCTTTGTCAGAAACAGCAGCAGTCCTGAGCACTGCATCGCCTATTTTACATGGGTTCAGGATAATGCAGTTTGGGTTGTTGTTTGGGGTTGCAGTGACGTCCTTGAACTCCATTTTATTGATGAGTTGGATGAAAAACAGAGTAGAGGAGGCCAAGTTATCAGGCCAAATTCCTGCACTAAGCCACTTAAATGAGGGCCTGATCTGAATGTCATCGTTCAGTTGATTGCTCATATCCCCAGAGTGAAAAGCTCTGATTTCACCACTGACTCCTCTGTTCTCCTGAAATATGAGGCCAACACAGCTGGGCTGGCAGCTCTGCACTGCCTGCATCACTAATATTGCCATGCCTGTCACAGCAGGTATATTCGGCACATTCGTTTAATCTCTCAAACACTCTTGACAGCATAATGGCGATGTGGCTGGATGTTCGGTGATGAAATAATTGCAAGTAGGATGCCTGGAGGCACTGTTCCTGGCGTGTTAATGTAGTCAACATTTTTTGAAGGAGCCCCTCAGTTTGAGTCACATCCTATCTTCAGGCTCCCATGCAGAATAACCTGGTGGTGCAGCTCAAGGGCTGCAGAAGGCCCTGTGGCATGGGTAAATAACCATCCAAATTTCTCCCTGTCATGTCTCTAAAAGGCAAGTCCATTCGTGCTGCCGTTGGCACAGGGTTGATGTTGGTACAGGTTAGCACAGGGCTGAAATGGAAGAGAAGCTATAAATACAAAGCAGAAGGACACAAAGCAGAAGGTTCTCCTGCAAATGGCGTTACAAGCACAGGGAGAGGAAAAGGAAGGTGAATAACAACAGATTGAAAATGCACAAGGTGTCTCGCTGCTCATGGCTCACAGCCATGGACCTTCTACCCCAGCAAGGGTGCCTCAAACAGATGGGAAGGGCTTCCCTCACATCTCACAAAGGAGGTTGCTGGTAATGGTGTGTCACGCTCAACAGCTCTGTGCTCAAACTCCTCCTCTGCTTGTCTGGGACCTGGGATTCAAGTTCACACCTTAGGCACCTCATTGAATACATTAACAAGATTAGGCAGTGCTCCTCTGCAGCCCGCCAATTTTGCTGGGCATAAATAGCTACGATGACAGACGAAGAGTATGAATGAGTTCGTAGCTTGATGAATCAAATCTTTCCCAGACTGATGTTGATTCCAAATTCTGAACCAGTGAGAGGAAGTATTTTACACCAGTGAGAAAGAGCTTTCCCTTGCTTATTCTGGGCTTACTTGCAGCTAACCATTCACCTGGCAAAATGCAGAGCTGGGTCAAATCCTTGCTTTGAACCAGGCACAGGAGAAGATACTGGTGGGAGTTCTCCAGCATCTTCTGTGTGAGTCCTAATCCAGGTCTGAAAGCACTCACCAGAGCAGCACCAGCACTGAACTCGAAGAGGGTCCTTGCCTCTGAGAAGCTCATGGGGGTTTCAATAGGGACCTTGTTCCTAGGGTGTCAGGGCATAAGGGCTTCAGTGCAAACAACACGGGGAAATTTTAGGCATCCTCTTGGTTTCTATGGATTTTGGGAATTAGAGAGCTGCTAAGAGAGGATTTTGATGATCTTATGGCACATCAGTGTTGGATTCTGACTGTTAATGACACGGTTTCAGTGTAACATAGCCGTAACAAAGATGGCTTGCAGCTGGCTAGCTTGGGGTCTCGTCAGCACTTTAATTCTAGGACCATGGAGCTCATTATGAGTACCTTCACAAATATCTCCCTAGCTTCTTAGGTTTTGCAGGCTGGGTAGCCATGGCTACACTGTGACAGCATCTAGGCTAGCTCACTGGAAACTCATGAGTGCACGTCTACCCTTCAGGGCAGTTGTATCAGAGTATCTCATGCCCCTGCTGACTTCAGCCCTCTATGCTGTTCTCAGCCCTGCATGTGGGGAAATACTTTGGAAGCATCAAGCTCAGATGATAACAGGTATAACTCTGGGCAGGGTTACAGCGTAGAACCACCACCCTCTCAGAACTGAGAAAGGAACTAGATGTCCAGATCTGCAACAACCTTCCTCGGCTCAGTGTGGTTTGTGGGCAGTGGCTTAAAGCAAGCAAACAAGCAAGCAAAACGAACCCCAAACCCACCAAGTTAAAGATGCTTCCCTTCAATGAAGTACATTTTGAAGAAAAAGAAGCTGTTAGCACCAGCTGTTAGCACCTGGTGGATAATGCGAGATCCCTGAACTCTGAAAGAGGAGCCCATCTTCCGTTCCATGTCCAGGCATCGGCGACCCAGGCTCTCCTTCATGAGGACAGCGCTGTGACATGTTACAGTAGGGTGGCAGCAGCCCAATACTAAGTGTACACGAGCTGGGCAGGGATTTCCCACCCCCAGTGTAAAACTGGCGCAACCCCATTTTGATGCAGTTGGGTGGGACACAAACATCTTTCTGTTATCTATCTTCTGACGGAGTTTGGGATTGCAGGGATTGTCTCAAATGCAGTGCCTGGGAGCGCGAGCTGCATGTGATGCCCTGCGAGCTGCCAGCCTGGCATGTCTGAGCAGGATTTGGTTTCAACCCTCTCATTTGCCCCTCCACCAAGAAAAGAAAAAAATAACTATTCCCTTGGTTTTAACAGGATCTATGTGCATTCTACAAATAGGGATTGCCCCTATATGGAAACTAATAGGACTTCAGAAAACAGGTAAAATACATGTGCACGTCTTAAAGATCTAACAATGCCTTCATCATAGGATGAAAGCTCCCTGTAAAAGCTGAAGAAGAAATCAATTTAATAGCTCTTCACTCCTTCCTGGCTCCTGGAGTGCCAGTTACGTGCTGAGACAACCTTATTCTGATGAAAGCAATTTTGCTTGCTGCTGTGATGCTAATTTTTTCATCTGGAGAGTGGCTCCTTATGGTGGGTCTGATTCAATTAAGGATTACAGGGTTCTACATCTCCCTTTCCTGGCAGTGTGTGCTCAGCAAGTGCAAATGAATTACAGACCAATTGTTTTCCCCTGATCCCTAATGATCCTGGGTGCGTTAATGCATCAAGATCTATGGGTGAACTTAAAAAGAATGAAAAACACAGTCGTGCTCCGCTTTTGGCATCTGTACCTGGTTTTTATACATGCAAATTGAGTTTCCTGTTCATTGAAAACAACCAAACAAAACACGCTGTCATGAACTTAGCGCAGAGAAGGGCATTCACGCTGTTCCTTCTCAGCGACCTGCTTTTCCAGAGGGCACCCACGGGTGCTTGGAAAGCTTTTGCTAACAAGGATGGTGGGCAATTAGCAGAACACAGTGCAGCACTGGGGCACCCTCCTGGTGCCGCAGCTTCATCTTCACACGTGTAAAACGGAGAGGCAGGGGCCGTGTGCTGGCCTCTCCCCTTCCTGCTCATGTTCCTCCTGTCCCTTCTCCCCGTGTCCCTGACTCTGTCTTCGGTGTCTTAACACCACCTCTTATCAACAGGAATTTTTGGCACATTCATATGTTTGGCATTTTTTTTCCCTGCTTCTTGCCTCCCTCTCTCCTTTACTGGCTCATTTTTTAAAAAGTGCAATTTATCTGTTTCAGAGATGCCAGTTCTGGTAAAGCCACCAAGGACTCAGGCTCTCCCCTCCCTTACCCCCCGTACTTCATTGTTCATGATACATCAGGATCTCCCAAGCTCTCCTCAAGTGACTGGGACCTTTACTCATAGTTATCAGCCCATGAGAGCTTGAAACTTAAGAGTGAAAGGTCTGAAAAGAGGGAGAGGAAAAGTATTTCTCCGCCTCTTGGCTTGTCTGATCTTGTTCTGGATGCCAGTGGCTTTTCCAGTTTTGTGTCCTCTGTTGGCTCACGCGGAGTATGTCATTTCACAAGGATTTGTCATCGAGTCGCTGATTCCTGGGGATCCTTCTGTCTCTCAGTTCCTCTCTCGGATGCTCAGTGCTTGGAGAGCCTCCCCCCATCACACCAGAGAGAATTCAGCCTGGAAGCCAGAGCACCGGCGTGTCTTTGGTGAGCACTTGGTCAGCATGGAGATCTGGGTGCTGAAGTTGGTGCCGTTGCTGCCTAAGGAAGGGTGGTGATACTTCATGTCCGAGCCCAGGAACCGCTCCAGATGCCACCTCCGCCACTTTCGCTTGAGCTCAGCTTGGACCTAGGTGGTGGAAAGACAAGCAAATCAGCAGAGGGGAGCATTTTCCACTGCTCCGACTTGGTTGTGTGAGTCACAATGGGTGACCCACCTACCAAAGGGCCAAGAATTATTTTATAAAGGTCACTAAACTCAACCTGGCCAGAACTTTCAGCCGCATAGAAGTCACACTCCAGCAAGTGAACTACTAGAGCAGAAATCCCTGAGCTTCAGCATAAAGGTGAGCACAGGGAACTGCTTATCTGATACAGTGAAGGTGCCAGACTACTTAACTTTAATGGCAACATATTCTATGCTTTGTGAGTACAATTAAGATTTTTTTCCCCACTGCCCTGTTTTTGTCCAAATACAAATGATTTAACTATAGCTTGTTTGTAAAGCTGTCAATACAGTTGTGCTTTTCTGATAGAAGCTACTTGTTCCAGCTCAGGGAGTTTACATACATCATCTGGTTTACACCGTCCAGATTCAGATCCTGAACAAATCTGGCCACTGTCCCTGACCCCTCCTGCAGCCTTCCAGTGCAAATTTTTAGATAACAGTATGAATTAGATAAAACAGCTGTGTCCAAGGGCCTCTGGGATCAGCAAGCACAGGAATAGTACAACACCAGGACGCAAACCCTAGGACTGGAAACGTGGGAACGGCAAGATCAATGCCTGTAAAATAGAAGCATGTTTACCTGGCACTGGTCTCTGCCTAACAAGTCACGTCAATGCCTATGTCAGTTTTGGATCCTAATAAGTTTGTGCGGTTTTGTCCTGCTCTGCACAGGCTTACTGGCAAAGGTCTCTGCTGGAGCTGGGCTATCTGCCCTGCATGCCACTGCGTGATGTACTCCTGGCATCAGCATGGCTGAAAGCACCATCAGAGCTGTAAGAGAGCAAGTTGTGATTCTGGACACTCTTCCTCTCCCCAGGAAGCTGGAACACAAACCCAGATCACAGCTGTTTCTTGCTTGTCCGTGCTCAGTTTATTGAGCTGAAAGTGCTCCAACTGACAGCAGCTCCAAATTTTTAGCTGCTGACACCTACTTGGTAGCCTTTGCGATATCAGTCTCTGCTGAATTTCTTACAGGCAGATGGAGCGTGGTACAAAAATATCACTGCACTAACAAGTCTCCATCTTGGCAGTGGGCCTGATTCTGTGGAGGATTCATTGAGGTGCTAAGCATGACTAGGGCTTAGAAGATGGGTTTTATCCTTCCCTGCTGAAGTCAGTCCTTTCAGCTCAGGGTTTAGGCAAGGTCATAGGGGAGTTCTGCTGATGCTGTCTCATGTGTAAAGGAAGGACTCGGCAGCAGAAATATCATAGTCCGCACAAAAGTCCTAATACGTTTATTAATTGTCCTGGAAACTGTCAAGAATATGGTTGAGTTGTTTTTCTGGAGCGAGCGATTTGATGTGGAAGCTTCCTGCCAATATGGTAACATCCAGGAATGGGACACTTCTCAATCCACTCTCCACAAGCATTCAGTTTGCCTTAGCTGCAAACATTAACCAAACAATATTGTTGATCTTACCTCCCCGTTGAGAAAACAGTACAGAACAGCCACCACAAATCCCTAGGGAAAAGGAGGGAACAGGCTTTTAGCACCTCATAGCTGATGTTCCCCTGGATCACAACCCAAACTCACTGCAGCCTTGGAGAAAGGGCACACTGTTGGGGGACTGCTAAGGTGCCCCTTAAAAACCACTTGATTTTCCTTATTAGAGGAGCAGGGGAAGATTGGTTAAGGTACCTTGCAGCAGATGCATGGGTGTGAGTTCAAAGATTGCTCCAGACTCATGTTTAAAGCCATCAATCAGTCAGCTCAGCTCTAAGAGGGGCACTTGGTGATTTAAACTTTGCTGCTTGCTTTTGTCAGCTGACACTGGGGAGATCTAAACATGCTCACTAGAACATCATCAGGGTCAGAACGATCTTAGACATGGTATAGGGATAAACTGTTCCATCTCCCCTGCAGTGACACCTCATTTTTGAGAATCTCAGCTTTCACTGAAAAAATAAAACGCTTATCTCTAGACTTCATGGTTGCAAACACTACGGACAAGAAGTGAGTGTAGGTCCATTTATCTCTCAAAGGAGAGATGCCAGATGTGAAGTGATAATGATGTAGGCAAGGACATTAACTCATTCACCACTGAACAAAGCATGCCACTGACACATGTATGGTACATGGTGACAGACAGATCCTGCTTGCAGGTTGTGAGAAGACTAAGGGCTAGAGCTGATTAATGGATGGATGCAATGGGATTAAATACATAAATAAATGCTTCTTTTCGTGCAACAGCAGGGCCAAGGTTTAACAACCCAACATGGGCACTGACAGAAGTGAAGTGTGTAGGAGGGTCTAAGAAGCAAACTTCATCAGGGCTTCCTGAAGATTAATGGAGGACAGCCCCATTATCCAACCTCATGGGGAACCTGCCTCGTACGCCAATGGACTGGAATCCTGCTTGAGCAGGATCTACAGGCAGGACTTGGTTTATTAGCAGAGGAGAAAGTTCATGCAAGTCAACTGGTTGAAGGCAGACTCCTGTTAATGGCCAGAAAGACACCCCTCCCAAAGGTGATTTATCTCATCTTACACCATGTCAATGACATATAAATTGAACTGAGGTGCTCATTTTTCTCCTTTAAGTGCAAAAAACTTAGGGGGACTAACTTACAGAGGTACATTTTCTTTTGAGGTGCTTAAAATGAGGAGAGAGGATCTCCTTCTGGAATTCCAGGAAGCAAAATATAAAATCATCTTCCATCCTGGCCAAGCTGGAGTGGGTAGCTTTTTCCCCAATGGTGTAAGAACAATATTGGGCATGTCCAGGAAAACCCCAGCTCACATGTTTACTTATTCCCTTGTCAAGCTTGTTACACTTCTCCCTGCCAACAGACCTGGTGACTGACTGGTGGCCCAAAGGGTGGCTTACCTGGAACGACCCAACCACAAGCTCAAAGACCAGCTTAACTTCTGCTTTGAAATTGTCAGGGAAGAAAGCAAACATGATGTAGTGAATGCCAAAGAGAGGAATCAGCAGCAAGGTGGACTTGGCCAGCCTCCTGTTGGAAAGACAAACATGAGTCATAAGGGGAGAGGGATGAGGAGCTAAAGGGTAAGCTGATGAGAAATCCTGCAGCTGAGCCCTATGCAACCCCGAAACTTTAATTTGCTGCAGTACATATTTGCTGATTACCTGGATCGTGATGGTGTAGCCTGTATCATGCTTGTTAAGTGCCTTTGTTTGCCCTTAAGAGGTGTGATATGGGCCACTTACCCTGCGATCCTGTCAACATCCAGCCTTTCAACAGCAGCCTCGAGTGAGGCAGCATTAGGAGGCTGCCCTCGCCCAGAGGGAAGAATTGTCTGGAGTACAGTGAAACAGAGGGTGTTGAGATAGCTCCTCACAGCCTAACCTCCCCAGGATCCCTCTGATGACCTGGGCTGGGATGCAATGACACGTGGAGGTGGACCCTCAGCTGGGCACAGTCACTATATGACAGTTCAAACTAACCAAGGACAATGCTGGGATCATTTCCACAGGCTTGCTTTCCTCCTCATTAACAGCTCTCATATAAATATATACGTGCCTCCAGCTGAGGCAGAGTGATCAGCCCTAGATTATTTCTCCTTGGCCTGCAGACTGCAGATGGCTGGTGATTTCAGATGTGGTGACAACATAAAATGTGACATCTTTATTCCCAGTAACTTCAATGGAGGTATTTCTTTCTCCTTTCTCTCTTCTTCCCCTCCCACCGGAGATCTTTTTTCATCTCTACAAGCTAAATCATCATCTAGTGCTGTCTTTGTTTGCTTGGGATTTCTGAAAATTACAGCTTCTGGGAGAGAAATGGTATGTTTAGCTCAGAATAATGACAGGCTATCGCACAATGAATATCTCCAAAGGAGGGAGATGAACAGTATTAGTGCTTAATGGCATCAGGCTGGGTAATCAGAGGTCTAATTAGGAAGAGATGATAATTTATTAAATGTAACCATTATTAAAATATAGCTGACTGAAATAAAATGAAATCAAGGACTTAAGGATGCTCTTGGAGGTTTTGGCTCCCTTGGTCACCTACAACCTCCTGTGTCCCCCTTACCTAGAGGCTTCTGGAGGAACTGAAGCTCAGGCTGGGATATTGGAAATACTTGTTCTACCATCTGCAAACCCTTCACCTCCAAAGTCCCATCAGGCTCAGTCCCCTCAGACCATCTTCATTTATTTGCCATCTGCATAAACCCGCTGGGAAGGCTGATGTGCCAGCTTTATGCAGACGATGCTCATCACTGTATCTCCCAGCAGACCTTTCCAGCTTTCTCTGCGCCTGGCCCTAAGACAGTTTGGTCTTAAGGCTGTGGTTGGAGGCTGTGGATCCCCTGGGAATACCTGCTGGCTGAAAAGCAGCTAGCTGCGACACATCCCAGGCAAAACAAGTACCTGTAGGAAGCCAAGGAGCTTTCCAGGAATTTGCCTTTCCTACCACCTTCCTCATTAGCAGGCACATCCCTGCTCATAGTGAGTAGGTCCAAAATCTGAGTCCTCTTGGATGTCTTGCTCTGCCAGAGGACTGTCACTGTCATTGGTGGCCACCAGGGTACCATGTGCCTCCCTGTCAGAAGCAACTCTGGCCAGTGTGACCCACACTTATATGACCCAGCTGTAATTCCCCCAGCTCCCAACATATGACAAAGCAACTCATTTTCTAAGCAGATCACAGTTCATTGAATATTAATACTGGCTTTGCAGAGATCTCTCCTCAGTCTTTCAGAAACAAGTCAACCTAGAGAAGATCGATGTGATGCTACCTTCACGTACCATATTTATAGAGAAGCCATTTGCAACCTCCAATGGATTAGAAAATTTTATCTTATTGCTGCAGACAACATTGGGGCCTCAGTAATAGCATTTTCCCTCCCGGCTGGACTGGGGCAATGAACAGGACCTATATGCCAAACCTTAGGAGCCCCCTCTCCAGTTTGCACAACTCCCCAAACCAGTGTCTTGCCCCCAGCATCGAGCTTCCCCAGAATATCAAGTGACGTTCTAGATCTTAGTTTGGCTTCAAGGCAAGGGCCCTATAGTCTAGCCGTGTGATATTTAAAAGACTCCCCTAAAAACTTCAATGAGGAAAATCATCTTCCCCAGTTATGGTGTAATTTATTCCAGGAGGGTAAAGCCTGGCTGTGCAGAAGGCAGAACTGCTTGGGAGATTCTCCAAAGCTGTTTAAAGCTACCTGCTGGAAGCCATGGCTTCTCAAAAAATTCATTACTTCTGCTCCCAGCACAGGGTACAGTTCTTAGACCTACCCTCTCTGACAGATATACATGATGACAGGTAATTTAGGGAAAGCACGTCTCCACTAGCCTGCACTGAACCTACTCCTCTCCTTGGGAGAGGATAAGAGCAAACCAACGTTTTAGTCATGCTCCTTGAATGCATAACGGAAAAGTTACCCAGAAAACTTTGATGATAATATTGATCTATGAACATGTACAGAATAGAAAGAGATGAATTTTGCTCAAGATTTCTGTTGCAGAAAACAACTTCCATTTGCATGAAGTATCGCTGTCCCACTCTTGCACGTGTCTCTGTCATTTCTAGAAAACTGTTTTGGGAGACTTGTTTTCACAGTTTCCAATACATTAAAGCCCAGATCACTGTCTGTAGCATTAATGAGCACCTGAACTTCCAGCCTGCAGCTAAACTGAAACCCGTTGAAATTGAACAATACTGTCAACATGTCGACGTGTTATTTTTTTATAAGATAAACAATATAAAATAAACAAGAGAAGGAGGGAGAAATGCAAATGAGAGATCCCTGATGTTGTTAGTTTAAAACATACTTATTTCACATTTGGTAGGAGGAACCCACACATATCATTAGCAGCAGTTTTTTGCTAAGATCCCTTGGGTCCTGTAGGCCAAACCCCTGAAGCCAGCAGCAGCATTTCAGGTAATAAGGGAATGACGTGTAAAAGAATACTGGTACCTACAATTGCAGATCACATGCCTAATGGCACTTATAAAAGGGTCTGGACCCTCGATGTCTCTACAGCTAGCCGTCTAAACATCAAAAACTTAGGACCACACTGAGAACTCCCTTTGGTGAGATCCAGCCTTCAGATTGGGACACTTAACATTCATTTCCATAGGAAAGTGTGGTGCCTCATGTGCCGCTGTAGTCAATAGAGTCAATGGAGACTTCCAGATGCCGCAGAGAATCTGGCTGGTGGCCAGTTGCCACTGTATAAGGGTACGAGTCTCCCATGGGTCCTATATGCCAGGTCCAGGCAAGTATCTCAAATGTCCTAAAGCTTCTCATATGGCTTGGACACCTATAAGTGAGGAACTGATTCATGCCCTAATGGAGCTGAGATGTTTTTCCAGGTGGAGGAGGAAGGTGAGGAACTGAAGATGTGAAGATCATTTGTACTTCAGCAGTGCCTTCTGTTGGGCAAGCCAGTGTGGGGAAGTCTGCGTTGCTTACTGCCCTGACGTGCTAGATGTGCCATTTGTGTTTACAAGGCAAAGAGACCTTTCCTGGCAGCTCCCATTTCATTGGAAAAAGTGAAATAAAAAGTCCTGAACTCAAAGCTCAGCATGACCTCCGAGGTAATCTGGGCATAACCCTTCCAATGCAAGCTGGCAGCACTTCTACTGAGATGAATGAGAGCCAACTGCTCCAGGCTGCTGCTTAGTACTAGAACATAACCCTTCCAATGCAAGCTGGCAGCACTTCTACTGAGATGAACTGCTCCAGGCTGCTGCTTAGTACCAGAACATATTTCAATATGCTGATTTAATCTATGTACCTGGCCAAAGCTGTTGCAATCCTGGGGGTACAAAGATACAATGCCCAACTAGAAATACATAAAGGGAGGTGATAGAAAGCACAAGGTCTGGTAATGTTGTTGTGTTATGATGACAGAAAAAGAGGTAATTTGGTCTGGCTGCTACAGGGAGAAATTAAGGTAAAATACTGGAATTTCCTTTCATAAATCTGAGAATTTCTCGAGGCAGATGAAATGCATAATTTACCATCACCAGAGAGAAAGACTCAGTGTCATGGCTGGTCAGTATTTAAGGACCAAATTGATACTATCTTCCATCTTGCAGAAAGAAGAACTGAGCTCAGATTCTTCAGGGTACCAAAGTGCATAGCTGCCTCCAAAGACAAAGAAGATTTATGAGCAGTGACCATGTAGACACCAGACTTTTTTCTTTTCAGTTCTTTTCTAAGAAAAAATTAATAAATATCCAAGATACTTGAAATGCTGAGCTAGGATAGTGGCAAGAGTCAAAAATAAGCTGGTCTGAACTTTTGTTTTATTTGCATTGAAGCCAGAATAAATCCATGCAGATAGACAGATTTCTCTCACTCTTAAAATACTGCAGCTAAGACCAGTCTTGGCCACTGAGACAGATGCTGATCTCACTTGCATGTTTTTCATTATAAAAAGCCCCATTAAGGTCAATCTTATATCCCTCGAATAAAAGCATTACATCAAGCGAAACTTCTGAGTCAGTGCTACTGCTCAACAGTGAAGAGAAATGCATTGGATTAATCCAACCTAGTTTAGGGGTCTGCTTTAGGATAAGGCAAATTTGCCATAGATTCTACTGAATGTACTCATTTTCTAGATCTCCTTCTTTGAAAAAGGGAGCTGAGAGTAACTGGTTCAGAAAAAAAGCCCTTATACTGTGGACAGCTACTCTTTGTTCTCCATAGGGTTCCCTCTGCCTTTAGAATTCAATGAATATTGAATACACAAAGAAAAATCCTATTTTGTTTCATGATCATTACTGTTGCTCCCACTTCTTCGTCCTTAATCCCAGGAGAAAACCTTCTTGCTTGTCTGTTCAAACGGACATAAAACATGCCCAGCCATTTTAGCAAATGCCCCATTTCCTGATTTCTGATTGGCTTTAATCAATTAACAAATACTTGATTCTGATCAGTGGAGACAGATGCAATACTGAACTAACAGACAAAGAGGTTTCCCCAAAACCATACAATATGGTTAAAAAAATCTAGGACTTACGAATATTGGCTGGTTTCATTGTGTCCAACGTCTGGGGAATGCAACTTCTGGACTAAGATGCGGATGATGCAAATGAAGAGAATGAAGTTCACCTGTTGGGATGGGTAGAAAGGAAACAGAGAGAGAAATTAAAAATTAGTATTTTTGTCCAGTGAAAAGAGCCGATCATTAGAAGGGAGTTCCTTTCACTGCAATATTTTTGCCATGGAGCAAGCTGTTGTTAAAAAGCCATGAGCAGAGAACCCCACTCTGGGAGCACATAGTAAACCGACATAGGATGGCAGCCATCTTGGGCCTGACATCAGCCTGCTTGGGACTTTGTGTCATACATCCCAAGTATGATGATGTCAAACCCATAGAGCACAGCTATGCACGACGTCCTGCTGCGCGGGGGAGCGCCGACGACAGGGTGGGAAAAGAGCCTTGGGAGTTAGCAGAGCGACGGACGTCAAAGCCCTCAGGAGACGGTGACATGGGACCGGCTGCTGAGCATGTCAAAGACTGAGGCGGTGAGCCAAGGAAACCAAAACAAAACACAAAGCAGTATCCACTCAAGCGGGCCTCTACTCAATGCTATTGGGCATGTCTCCTCTGGAGAGAAGCTGGAGACCTTGTATAGCAAGGGATAGACCTCACTGACACAGCGGAAAACATCCTCTCCTAGGACGTTAGATCAGAGGAGTCTAGTTAATACCCAGATTTTAGACAGTGCTTCTCACTCAAAAAATCTCAAAGTGCTCCACCAACACACTCAAGCAATGCTAACCTTATTTAATAGCAAAGGTGTTGAGATAGGAATGGCAGTTTCCTAAAGGCATGTAGTAGATGGCATGAGTTGAATGCAAATATACTTGCTCTTAAGGTCCTATCCATTGAATCACACCGTTATTCATGCAAAATATACAATAGAAAAGTGATGACAGGTTTCTGTGGACTTCGTTTAGTTTTAGTTTGGCACACAACCTCTTTCTTTATCTTTTCATGGTTAGTGAATGCACAAATGATTCTGATTTTTAGAGACTCAATGGCTGGAAGAGATTGTATTAACCAGCCAATCTGATTTCCTGCAAAACCAGATTGTAAAATTTCCTCCAGCAATTCCTACATTTATCTCAAGAACAGGTGAATAAAGTAGACTGAAGCACATCTCTCAGACACTCACTCTTTTTTCAAAGGCTACGAGTGATGGGGAATTAATTGTATTTCTTGGTTATGATGCACTGCCTAATCACTTTTTTATCTATCTCATGCCATTTATCATAGCTTCTGTTCAGATTGATTTGCTTATAAAAATGGCTTGCGTCTGACTTGGTGGCGAGTAAAATTTATCAGTTCAAAGCAGTATTATCTAGATCAATTGCTCTAGTAAGCATTGTTAGCACACAAGCTGCAGCATTGAAGGGAAGATCGGAGCAGTTAAATACTGACTGTGTTAGCTTGTAGTGGTCAAGAGCAAACATGGACACAGGGCAGTGATGAGTTAGGTGGAGTATGACTTATAGGCTTAGTACAGTCTTAGCATTGTATGGTAGAAGATATAGCTATCAGGCTACTGGAGAAATTGTTTAGTTTAGTTTTCAACCTAGAGTATAATCAAAGGTACTTGATCTGTTCCCAGTGCTTAATATCTTATATATCTTATGTATGTATTTCTTCCTTCCATAAAGATCTATGCTTTATTCCCATGGCTATGGAGAAAATGTTGCATTCCTCCCTGAAGAAACCTGCTGTTCATCAGATAGAGGTTATCATGCCCTTCCTTTGTGCCAGATTTATATGGTATCTGCAGAAGGAAAATCAGAAATTGCTGGGTAAATTTTGTTTGGCAATGAAGAAATAATTTATTCGCCAAAAGAAAATACAGACTCATTGATCTGAGGAGAACAGGGTGTATTTCTTTACAAAAAGGTTATCTCAGGAAAGGGAAATACTATCTACAGCTTTATATGATAATACAAATATTTTGAGATGTGTCATCTAAGTATTGTATTTCTTTTCAGTGAGGTGAATAGAGTAAGATGTAATTATTCAAACTGTTTCAGTTTGGAATCCCAGTATGACAAATGCTACAGAAAAAAAGTCTTCCTGTAAAGGTCATAATGTATGTGGAATAAGAAGAATGTATGTCTAAGAAAAGCTTTCTGTTTAAAAGAGATACATTTGGTTTGATTTCTGTTGCATTCTTTTTCTTCCCTTCCCACATACTCGCCTTCATTTAAGAAAACTCAAAGCTAAGTTCAACTCGAGTTAATTTGATTTCAAGTTTTGGCTTGATACCTGACAGAGGAAACACATAATATTCAACAAGCATGGAAGGACTCAGAGTTCCTCAGAAGTGTCATGGTTTCTATGGTCAGAATTGATCATATCTAGAGAAGAAGTCAAGCACTTCTGTTGATTTATCTGGAAATTAGCCAAGCTTCTCAAGAACTTACTTTAAAAACACACAGCTGGAATCCAACTTTGTACTGGATGCTGTAATGAGAGGCAAATATCTGGGGGAATTCATCTAACTGCATTGTATCTAGGGAGAAATTTATGGTAGGACTCACCCCAATTTACTTTATAGTGCTGACATCTACAACTGAACAAGTCATCCTGGGCTCTACATATGGTCAGCTCAGAGAAACAAAAACATTCATAGCACAATTCATCTGATTGAATTTCAACATCCACTGATTCATTAGGCAAGATAAGCCTCTCCTGGATCCCTAACCATGTTGCTCAGCCTCCTCTGGCTACACACACCCAGGGCTACTGCACCAGGGTGCCCAGGGCAACTAGCTAGGATGGAAGTGGTCAGAGTTAAATCAAATGAGCTCCACCTTGGTTGTTTAGACACTCAAGCTCTTCCCATGGTCAGTGCTTAAAGGTAAAAATGTTTATCGAGAGGGTGAGCTTCCTCATCCTAAGACATTCAATATACAGCAGTATTTTATCTGTCAATGCATTTCGCATGGATATTTACAGAACACTTCTCAACACCCCTTCAACCCCCACACTTTGTATTAAAGATGGCTTTGTAGCCAGCAGAATGTGCTGATACTTTACCAAAATGGACACCAAAATAGGAGTTTTAATGATCCACCAGAATGAGGATTCCACTATTTCCTCCCAGCACCTAAAAAGAAACAAAACCGGACTTAAAACATCAGGCAAAGCAAGCAAGCAGCTTTGTAACCTTCTCAGATATTTGGTTTCCCTAAATGCTAAAGATGGCTATGCTAGGTTATACGAAGAGGACTAAACCTGGTGTGCGTGAACTGGGAAGGGCTGAAGACTTGCTTTGCAGTGGCTTTGAGCACTGGTAGGTAGCAGCTGTCCCAGGCATAATGCTGTGAGCTCTTTTCCCCTTGGTAATGGAATAGGCTGGAGGATGTTATCTCAGGGTTAATGTGGGGGAGGATGGTGAGTCACTTTGTTTCTCCTACACTGAGGTCTGCTACAAGGAAACGCTATCAAAACTGACAGATTCATGAGGCCTCCAATGCCATCCGCCACCATGGATGGGGGTTTTGTTAAGCACAGAGCACTTGGCACCACCAGAAAAAACCCACATGCCCTTCTGAAAAAGATGACAGACAGCGTGTGGTGGGATTAGGCAGACTAAATCTAGCTAGCTGCATCTGAGCTATGGATCTAGTCAGACAAGTCCATAGGGTCCAGGGTGTGATTTATTTCATCCTGAATTCAGAATTGCCTGCAAACCATGCCACTCACCTAGGTCATCTGGAACTATATTTTAAAGCCAGCAAGGAAATGACAGACTAGGAATGACATGGAAATGACTAATATTGCTTGGGACACATTTATCTGCAGACCTCACAAGAGTCAGGTGATCAAAGGTGCATTTTTAGCAGAGCATTCCTGAAAATCGGTCTGCATTTATGTTTGAAATAGATTAGTGGAACCCATCATAGAAAATTTCACCTGGATTCAGCTCCTCTAATTCAATATGTTGACAGCGCAAGTAATGGTAGATGAAGAGAAGCACTTTTAGGGCACTGTTCCTGAGACCTATTTTAGGCATCAACTTTAGGATGAAAAGAATTGCACTCCATTGACTACCCTGACCAAATCTTCACTAGCTATAAAAGGAGACTAGAGCGAATTGCTCAGATACAGATGCTTATACTTAGTCAGGTGCATGCTGCCCTTTCATTTAGAATTAAAGTGGCCCTAATTATGTCTAGTGCACTTCATTTTTAAAATAAATTCAGGCAGTCTGAATGAAGGTCACTTTAATTTGGAGTTAGAATGTTTAAATAGAGGCTTAATGTTGTTTAACCAATCTTACATAATTAGGTTTTGTTTAATCTGGATTAATTTCCTGTAATTTTTCTCTGTAGGTAATTTCAGTATGCCAAAAAAAAAATCTATGTTAGGTATTAGCATATCCTGTAAATTCACACTCTGTTTTACTTGGCACAAAAATGTAGAGCTTTAAAGCCTCCAGAAAATGCAAAGAAGTCTGTATTTTTATTAAGAATTGCTGGAGATGAGTGGGAATATATAGTAAGAAGAATTGGTATCCAGGCTGGTTAAATCCTTTGGTCTCTATCTCATTGTAGAGGCTCTTTATTAACAGAGTTAGTAAGGTCAGTTTTATGCAGATAGAGTGAAACCATAAAAAAAGTCAGTAACCCTCAGGAAATGTGTTACATGACCATAAATCAAAAACGCAATGAGAAATCTGAGCTGCTTCTCTTACTGAAATAAGGACAAATCAGGACACATTTGGAGAGGGAGAATGCACAGGGGAGAATGGAGTTAACCATATGCTGCAAATGTAAGAAGCGAGGGCATGCACAGTGAGCACATAATAAGCACCTGATTCTGTAACTCTTTGGAGTGTGTTCTCATAAAAGCCTTTCCAATTACTATAGTTTGACTGCTTGAGTAAAAGCATGAAGGAGGATTGCAGGATCAGATCCTATTTACTTGCATATATCCTTGGATAGCTCTGATATCTGCCTCATTTACTTAGCTGTATTCTATCTGCTGCTTGTATAAAATATCAAAGGCTGCTGCTAGGTTAAAGAGGATAAAAACCAGATCCTAAGATGTGCCTGGGGGAAAAAAAAAAGGTGTTTTAGACTTCTTCTGTGGGAAATGGGTGTGTTTGTTAAGTATCTGCTGCATGAGCATACTTCAGGTCAACTCTGCAGGATGCAAAGCTCTGCTCTGAGGACGGGGTAGCTGCTCAGCTGGTATCTTCATTAAACACAGGATCACAGGGCCAAATGCGACCATCAGGGTCTGTTCACAAATTCCCTGCAAATATCCTGACTAAAGGATTGGGGAAAAAAAGAGGGTGAGTGACTGGCTTAAGTTGACGTAAACCATGTCTCTTGAAGCAGGCGTTGGAGCGTTTCCCTGCTCATGGTGGCAGGGGAAAGCCTCCACTCTGCTGTTGGGGTTAGGGCAGGATGGCTGGGATACCAAAATGCAGCGCTTTCCAAGACCTTCCTTGGAGATAAAGGAAGGGAGAATTATAAAGGAAAGATAATTGAGTCCACGGGCTTACCCAACATCGAAAAAGTAAATCCTGACAATAGTCCAAGCAGTGATGAATACGGAGGGGGCACCTAGTAAGAGAAGAGATGATGTTACTGTCAGAAATCATTATCCATGTTTTCAGGGCTGTTCTCCCCCACTCTTCATCTCTCCTGAGTGACTGAGGTGATGCCTTCCCTCAAGAGTGGGCAAATGCTTCACATTTTCAATATTCACATGCCAAACAAGCAACATGTTGCCTTTCTCTCCCACTGGCCATGTAAGGTCATAGAATCATAGAATCATAGAATCGTCTAGGTTGGAAAAGACCTTTAAGATCATCCAGTCCAACCATTAACCTACACTACCAAGTCCACACTAAACAAATCAAGGGTAGACTAGACTAAACCATGTCCTAAAGTGCCACATCTACCCGTTTTTTGAACACTTCAGGGATGGTGACTCCACCACCTCTCTGGGCAGCCTGTTCCAGTGCTTGACTACCCCTTCTGTGAAGGAATTTTTCCTAATATCCAACCTAAACCTCCCCTGGCGCATCTTAAGCCCATTTCCTCTCGTCCTATCGCTAGCTACTTGGGAGAAGAGACCAACACCCACCTCACTACAACCTCCTTTCAGGTAGTTGTAGAGAGCGATAAGGTCTCCCCTTAGCCTCCTCTTCTCCAGACTAAACAACCCCAGTTCCCTCAGCCGCTCCTCATAAGACCTGTGCTCCAGACCCTTCACCAGATGAGTTTCCTGTAACTGCTCCCTAGCAGATTTGTCTTCCTGTTGCAGTGCCTACAAAAAAACTTCTGATGGTGAAATGCAAGGAATAGGAATCACTTTAGACATCTACAGTGTGGACACCTGTATCTAAGTCAGTCAACACAGGCTCTCTTTAGCATCAACAGGGAGAAATATGTACTTCTAACACACAGGTCATCTGAGCTACTTTAGATGTCCTAAAGCTGCCTAGAGCTTTAGGACAAGAAATATGCCCTTGGGCTCCCCTGACTGTATTGCTGGTTCTCCACTGACTATAAAGGGAGCCTGGAGTGCAAGTTCATGTGTAGACAGGTGTCTGTAGTTGGCCAGCTGAAGCTGACTCTGCCCCTCACTCCATGATCTTCTGCCTGACCAGGGTGGTCTTGTTCCATCCTTGTGGTGCCTCTTTTCTCTGTCCCTTGCCTTTGATTAGATTTAGATTAGAAATACTCCAGGAAGGACACGTTGCTTTGTTCTGTGTTAGTCACAGTATCGCGTGTTGTTTATTACCAGTGATTTCCAGATTACCAGATGATTACCAGATGATTCCAGTGATTACCAGAGTGCAATGCTAGTAAAACAGTAAGAACTGTAATGAATGCATCCAAATTATTAATTCCTGAATGATCCATTTCAGATCCATCACTGATGCTCTTGTAAATGATGGATGACTGAAAGGCCAAAGGATCCTTCAAGCGCCTGTCATTTTCTTGAACTGCCCTTCCTCACCTAAGCAACCTCAGGATACATTACGAGTGCAAGAGATTTCCTTTGATTTAAAATCATTAGCTTCATACATTTTTCTTTAAAATCTGCCAGCTCTACTGTGCTGAAAGAAGGGTTTCTATGCACAAGGCAGGCTTAAAGAAGGTCTGACCTGATTAACTGCATCTGAAACAAGGCCTGCTAACATCATCTCTTCTTGTGCTTATAGCATGGAGAATTGTCTCTCTTCTGCAGTGTGAACCCAAGCATAACTCCTGTCACTTTCGATGGAAGTTACTCTACGGCTAACTGATCAAATCCTGAGTCCAGGCATACCCCTGTACATGACACAATTTTATTTTTTCTTTCCTTTCCAAGATTCTTCCCCGCTCTAATTATTTCTCAGCTTCAGCTATCGAGAGCATGCAATAGAAAACCATTTTTCTTACTTATACATAAATCTTCAGCTAAATGGCTTAAAGGGGAAAAGAGATACCTGTTTCCTCTTCGGAGAAAGAAGAGAAGTTGATCTGGTAGGATTAATTTGCATAAGTTAGCAACTCATCTCTGAGTTACGTTGTGAAGAGTTTAATACTGTCTTCCTTGGCATTTTCTCATTTTATTTTATTTTATTTTATTTTATTTTATTTTATTT